TATAATCTGGAAAATACTTTTAGTTCTTAATGCTAAAAGCTTAATTTTTTTTCACAGGGGTAAAACCCAAGATGTATTTAACGCTATGGGATCAATGTATGCTGCTGTTTTCTTTATTGGTTTTCAAAATACAGCATCAGTTCTGCCCGTTGTAGCCGTTGAGCGTACAGTATTTTACAGAGAAAGAGCTGCTGGAATGTATTCTTCCTTCCCATATGCCTTTGGACAAGGGAGCAGAGAATTTAACGTCTTATAAGCCAATTTCTAGTAAAATAGTCTAAAATACACATAATATTTTTTAATTATCTTGCAGGTTTGCATTGAAATGCCGTATGTCTTTGTGCAAACTGTTTTCTATGGCGTCATTGTCTATGCTATGATTGGATTTGAATGGACAGTAACCAAGTACTTTTGGTACTTGTTCATCACGTATTTCACTCTCTTATACTTCACCTTTTATGGTTTGATGAGCGTTGCAGTTACTCCAAATCAACATATTGCGCAAATTGTCGCTGTCTTCTTCTTTGCCATGTGGAATCTTTTCTCAGGATTCATTGTTCCGCGACCTGTAAGTTGTTAAAACACTTCCATTGTTGTTACATGAAAATCAATTTAGAGCTCGAAAATGACATGTTTTCTTCATTGAAAAACAGCATATGGCCATATGGTGGAGATGGTACTATTGGGCTTGTCCTGTTGCCTGGACTTTGTATGGTTTGGTTGCATCACAATTTGGAGACCTCCAAAACAAAATAACTGATGATGAAACAGTGGAACAATTCTTGAGACGTTACTTCGGGTACAAGCATGATTTTCTTGGAGTAGTTGCAGTTGTGACTGTTGCATATGCTGTTGTTTTTGGCTTCACATTTGCTTTGGCTATTAAAGTATTCAACTTCCAGAAAAAATAGAAGATTTTATACCTGCTGAAGATCTATACGAGGAAATTGAAGAAGAGATCGATTATAAAACTCGTGTATACAGGTTACCACTTGAAGAAGTATACATATATGTTCTGTTAGGCTCCCAAACTTGAGGAACCCCCAATTTGAGGCTTTACAAATGTAAAAGTTAAACATATTAGTTATTCATTGGTTATCCATTTGGTTAACCATTTTCTAAATGGATAATATGGTTCTTATCCATATTCGACCCGTTTTTAAAAAGTTCATTATCCAACCCATTTTTTAATGGATAATATCGGTGGAAAACTATATTTTTTTTCAAACCATTTTGCCACCTCTAGGTAGTATATATTTACTGTAACTTCTGTGTTTCCTTTTACAGACTCTTAAATTTCAAATAGAATTCAAGTAGTTGGAGAAAAAGTTTTAGAAGGGGAGTGACTACTCGAAGCTTAGTCCTAAGTATTTTGGACCATTTCGTGTAGTAAAGAAGATTGGCCAGGTTGCATATCAGTTGGAGTTACCACCTAATGCTAAGATTCATAACACATTTCATGTGTCTCAGTTGAAGAAAAAGGTGGAGAATAGACCAGTTTTTCCTTATCTTCCCGTTTCCTTATCCTCTAATGGCCATATACTGTTGGAGCCAGAAGCTATCAAGGATAGGAGGATTGTCCAGAAACATCATAGAGATTGTTCAGGAGCTATTCTTTTCATTTGGTTCCTTAGAGATTTGCAACTATTTCCTGCGACTCAGTTTTGGTACTAACAACCTCCAAAACAAAATTAATGATGATGTAACAGTGAAACAATTCTTGAGACGTTACTTCGGGTTCAAGCATGATTTTCTTGGAGTAGTTGCAGTTGTGACTGTTGCATATGCTGTTGTTTTTGCCTTCATATTTGCTTTGGCTATTAAGGTATTCAATTTCCAGAGAAGATAGAAGATGTTATACCTGCTGAATATCAAGTTGAGAAATGTTGAAGAAAAGATTGATTATAAAACCTTATACAGTAGAGATCCAAAAAGTTTAAGGTGCCCGAAACCTCCCCCCTCATACCCCACAGAATATTGAATTTTTTTACTTTACCTTGTACAATTGTATTAGGGAATTAAATAAAACCTTCAAAATTGTAATTTGTCCCCTTCTAAAACTTTTTCTCCAACTACTTGAATTCTATTTGAAATTTAAGAGTCTGTAAAAGGAAACAGAAACTTACAGTAAATATATACTACCTACCGGTGGCAAAATGGTTAAAAAAAAATAGTTTTTTACCGATATTATCCATTAAAAAATGGGTTGGATAATGAACTTTTTAAAAACGGGTCGGATATGGATAAAAACCATATTATCCATTTAGAAAATGGTTAACCAAATGGATAACCAATGAATAACTAATATGTTTAACTTTTACATTTGTAAAGCCTCAAATTGGGGGTTCCTCAAGTTTGGGAGACTAGGAATTCTTCCAAAAGTGATCATATTCAAGAAGTCATGGATAATATGGATATTTATATTATCCGCCGGATAACACTTTTTTTATCCGTCTCAAATACCTTTTTTATCCGTCGGGTCGGATAATTTATCCGTTTTTTAAATTACCCGTTTTTGACCCGCTCATATCCGACTCGACCGGCCCGTTTGACACCCCTAATACTAGCTATATAACATGCTGATCTTCATCTTGATGCATAGCTTCTCTTGAATATCAAATAAAAAAGGCAACTCATGGCTATTAGTGGTGCAATGACAACACCGGGCTAGCTAGATGGTGTAAGTATTTCTTACACCATCCGTGCGTACAACTTAAACTCTTCCACACACATAAAAAAACATGAGATAAAGATGAAAACGAAAAGCCTGCTCGGCGTCTCCCATTGCACCACCAACAACCATGTTGCAAAATTGATACTTATAAAATTATAAATGCAGAAAATACTGATCGAAGGAGCTGATGGTTAAATTTCAAGAAATATTTGCTTCCTTTTATTTCTGATTTTTTTTGAGTTAGACAAGATTCTGTTAATTAGTGGGATTTTCGAATAACTAAGAGTAGAATTTCACTTTCTAGCTTATTAGAATATCTTTTCATCAACTCACAAATGCTGCTAAGAGAGTGAGTTCTTGTTTTAGTGAGTAGAATTTCATTTGTTTTACCAAAATATGTCTTTTAAATTCTGTCTGCAACTTCAAGAATATTTTTGTGTGGTGGTGGTGGTGGTTCACTTTCTAGGGGGCAAAATCTTAAAATACTCAACTTTTGTTTCTTTAATTTTTCTAGGACAAACATGAGAATATGCTTCTACTTTGCATAATAATAGTAAGAAAAAGGTTGTATTGTATTCCTTTTCTTTATCATCTGAGGAAGAATTCTCTTTACTCAAATGTGCTTCACAATTGTTACTACAACTGATGTCTTGAAATAGAAAGAAAGTGAATCAATCAGTATATGGCTAAATAAATATATTGGCCAAGTATCTGAAAGATAGTAACTAGATCCAATACTAACAGAACATATATATGTATACTTCTTCAAGTGGTAACCTGTATACACGAGTTTTATAATCGATCTCTTCTTCAATTTCCTCATATAGATCTTCAGCAGGTATAAAATCTTCTATTTTTTCTGGAAGTTGAATACTTTAATAGCCAAAGCAAATGTGAAGCCAAAAACAACAGCATATGCAACAGTCACAACTGCAACTACTCCAAGAAAATCATGCTTGTACCCGAAGTAACGTCTAAAGAATTGTTCCACTGTTTCATCATCAGTTATTTTGTTTTGGAGGTCTCCAAATTGTGATGCAACCAAACCATACAAAGTCCAGGCAACAGGACAAGCCCAATAGTACCATCTCCACCATATGGCCATATGCTGTTTTTCAATGAAGAAAACATGTCATTTTCGAGCTCTAAATTGATTTTCATGTAACAACAATGGAAGTGTTTTAACAACTTACAGGTCGCGGAACAATGAATCCTGAGAAAAGATTCCACATGGCAAAGAAGAAGATAGCGACAATTTGTGCAATATGTTGATTTGGAGTAACAGCAACGCTCATCAAACCATAAAAGGTGAAGTATAAGAGAGTGAAATACGTGATGAACAAGTACCAAAAGAACTTGGTTACTGTCCATTCAAATCCAATCATAGCATAGACAATGACGCCATAGAAAACAGCTTGCACAAAGACATACGGCATTTCAATGCAAACCTGCAAGATAATTAAAAAATATTATGTGTATTTTTGACTATTTTACTAGAAATTGGCTTATAAGAAGTTAAATTCTCTGCTCACTTGTCCAAAGGCATAGGGGAAGGCAGAATACATTCCAGCAGCTCTTTCTCTGTAAAATACTGTACGCTCAACGGCTACAACAGGCAGAACTGATGCTGTATTTTGAAAACCAATAAAGAAAACAGCAGCATACATTGATCCCATAGAGTTAAATACATCTTGGGTCTTACCCCTGTGAAAAAAAATTAAGCTTTTAGCATTAAGAACTAAAAGTATTTTCCAGATTA